TTGTCAGCATTACACTTTCTTCTGCAAGATTACCCCAAATGTCAGGATCGTAAATAACAGTCACATCATCTCATGACTGGAATGGGTCAAGGAAGAAATTCCTGTATTACCAGGACAATAGAGAGGACTGATACTGGGGTTCCGTTTCCTGCTATGCTTCATAGAAATTCAAATTAAAATATCCTAAGTCTAAAAGAAAAAAGTTTCAGTTTCTTTAGGAAGAAATTCTCTATGATTATTTTGAGATGAGAAGCTGATTTTACTCTTTTTAATAAAAGGAAACGTGAGCCAGTCCTGCTCGGCTCATGTCCCGCGCATGTGCCTTGCCTGCCTGCTGGCTGATTCTCACCGGGTGGCATCTTGGTTTGCTTCTGGGTCAGGAAATGTTTCCACTCTGTGCAAAATGGAGACACTGGATATAACACTGTGAACATTTTTTGTGTCTATATGTGAGCAAAATTTCTCCCCTGCCCCTTTCTAAGCCCAGGGTCACATGGGTTGTTTCTGTCACACAATTCAGATATTCTTTATTGTAGATTATTCACTCTGTGGGGTTTCTTTGTCTGAAATTATCCTGGGGAACCTTTGTGTTTGAAGCACAAAATGATATGAAAAGTCAAGTTGAAAAAAAAAAAAAAAAAAAAGGCGAACCTAAAAGCTGAAGGTGGGTATTAGAAGCAGAAAAAAATCATTCCTTGAACTCCCCAGGAGTTGATCAAACAGACAGCCACCATTTCTAACAAAGGCAGAGATCTACCCTGCTCTGAAAGCCGGCTAGAAACACTGAAAATGTTTCATTATTTATTTCATTAATTCTGTGATCACAATCTCTACTGACAAGATTTGCTAATCTAATCATTTATTAATGAAACGTGTCTGGTGCCATTGTGCCCAGGATCTTCCGCGGGTCCCAGCGTGTGTGTGACCAAGGCTCTCTGCTAATGGCTGGCTTGTCATCTTCCCGCAAAGTGACATTGGGATTTCCAAGATCCTCATGGGGGTCTCTGAGCTCACGGACAGTGTCCAACACGGCAGGCAGGCACAGCCCTGCCGCCAACCAGCCCTGGCCACGCTGCAGGAAGCGTGCAGCAAATATGGTTTCTTCTCCTCCCGCACACTCATCTCGGAACCACAGCCCAGCATTTGTGTGCTCAAAGTCTTAATGCAGACAGGAACAAATACCTTGAGCTGTGTTTGCACCGTGTTAACTCACCTCAATGCAGATAAGGTGAACCTGGCTCTTGACTAAGACACCGATTTTTTTTTCCTGGAAATTTCTCTGTGGTTTTAGATATTTCCAAAATCTCCGCCTGTTTCCTTGGCGACCGTCTAAGCTTTTATTCCTTATGAACCAACATGGCATGATTCATCAGTAAACAGCCAGGCAGCAGCCACCCAACTTACAGACTTCCTAAAGATTTCCTGGAGAGCAGTCCCTGCCCTGAGCTGTTTCACGGGCTCTGTTGTTGATATTTCACAGAGCACCACTAAAAAAATAATAAAAACTTCATAACCGTGAACATGGGGAAGAGCAGCATTTATGGAGATAATAAAATGCAGAAATGAAAACCCCTCAGCAAAGCCCCATTAGATGTGCCTGCGCTCTGTTCATTAATCTGTGATAATTAGACTTATTTGCAGAGGTTAACAGCAGTGGCACATGGTAATTAAGCACTTTCTCTCTACCAGAGGGATTGAAAATGCCTCTCATGTGACACACGTCCAGTCTTTGGGACATTTTATGTTTGTTTTACAGCTCAGTTTCCCTACAGGAGAAAGAGGTTATATTCAGTATGGCCATAGACAGAAATTTTCTATAATGAAAAGTAACATATTTTATCATAAAGTCTGAGTTGAGAATGGCCTAGAGTTAGAAATCACCTCCATTACTGCCTGGATAAATGATATTGGGCAAATTGTTGAAACCTTTTGCCTCAGTTTCCCCATCAATAAAATGGGAGTGGTAATAGCTTCTTCCTAGTGTAATCATGATAATGATCACAAAGCTGATATTCCTTGAGAATTAGGGAGCCGCCATGCTCTGTTCTGAGTCCTTTATGTGAACGTACTGTATTTCATTTTACAGATTGAATCGCTTGCCCAAGACCAAGCTTTGGAAAAAAATCATTTCATTCACTTAAGACATCCTAGTTTGCTCTTGAGAGCAAGCTTCCCAACATGGGCATAGATCCACCGTCTGGAAAATATATTTCCTTCTTTTCTCAGAGTGAAATAATATTACCCATTGAAATGACTTTATCCTTGGCAGTAGTCATCATTTGGGCTTAGACTGGATACAGTGGCATAATCCTATCTATGAAGGAACCCATTAATAAAGAATTACTGGAATGTAGAAGGCAGATGTTCCACTTCCCCCCAGTTTTAATAATTGTACTAAATGAGTTAATATATGCAAAGCTCTTAGCACAATGCTTGGTGCATACTAAGTGCTCAATAAGCAGTAGCAATTACTTTTATGGAAGTATATTGCGGAAAAGAAGCATAGAGTGAAATATATTTTTCATTCTCCACATGAAATCTGAACATGAGGTTTTTCCCAGACTCTGTGGAGGGCTGAAGCCCTGGCTAGTGCGGGACATATACTTTGGTTTCTCCACTACCACACACTGGGTACAGCAACACGTGCTGGACGGCAGATGACTCACCCCCTCTTGGACCCCAGCAGGATGGTGCGACATTTCAGCATGTCCTCAGATCATCATGCCATTTAAACCCGTGAATTGCTTATTTCTGGAATTTTCCATTTTATTTTTTGGGACTGCTGTTGACCACAAGTAACTAAAACGTAGGGAAACGAAACTGTGGGTAAGAAAGGACAGCTGTAATCCAGGCTACTGTTGTCCCCAACTTATTTGTGGTAGAATTTTGATCCATTTGAGCCAAAGTAGCTAGACAGTTCAGGGTATTAAAAAAAAAAAAAGGAAGGAAGGAAAAAGAAAAGAAAAGAAGGAGAGAGAGAGGGAGAAAGGAAAGAAGGAAGGAAACAGTTACCCAAAAGCATCCCCCTACTTTCCGGTCCTCAAGTCCTGGAAAACCGAGTGTAAAGGGCCTCGGGTCTTAGGCAGGAGAGAGGTTCTGCCTGTGTTTAAAGATGCCACCCGGCCAGGTTAGTGTAAGGGGATCTCTCTGCCTGGCCCTGGCTCCCGGCACCCTCACGTTACTCAGCTTGCTCGCCTTCCTCAAACGCAGTCCAGAGTGAGGCTCTGGCAGAGAAATGAAAGCCCCGAGCCTGAGTCTGGACGATTTCCATGCCGTGGCTACACTTATTAGCAGTTTCCACTCCTCTCCCCAGTCCACGTGCAAACAAGCAGGATGGCACTTGTTTGCTCAAATCCTCTTTTGACTTGGGGTGTGTGTGTGTGTGGTTGGTGGTGGTGACAGCGCTTTTGAAAGACAAGCATTGGCACTGTTCACAAAGACAGACAGTCCCCTGCGGCACCAGGAGAGAGGTACGGGAGCCACAGGGAGCAACGTGGGAAGGGCCACCAGGTGCGTTCCCATGGGAAGGTGAGGGCCTGGTTTCCACATGGCTCGCTGCTTCCTCAGCTCCCAGCCGATGGCACCGTGTTACATAGAACAGTGACCCTTCGGCTTCTGCTTTTGAGGAGGAGGGCAGCAGTTTCCTAATGTGGTCTAACCCACAACAAATGGCCTATTTTGGTTGGATTTTCTATCCACACATTGAAAGGAAACAAGATTTAACCAAGGGATCGTTCAAAGGGTAGGCACTCTTAGCCAGGTATGGTGGCATGCATTGCAATCTCACCACTCTGGGAGGCTGAGGCAGGAGGATCGAAAATTCAAGCCCAGCCTGGGAAACTTTGGGACACCTTGACCCAAAATTTAAAAAAATAAAACGGTTAAGAATGTAGCACAGTGCAAAAGTCCTGGGTTCAATCTTTAGTACAAAAAAAAGTAGGAATGTACGGCACCATTCTGTAGTAGTCAATGAACTTGTTAAATAAAATACCATATATTGTAGGCCAGTGGTTAGGACTGAGCTCCTACACCAAATTAAAATGAGGTCTGAAGTTCCATACCTCAAGATAACCTAAGTTGTTCACTTGATCTTCCAAGAAATCAGGACACAGAGAGGGAGCCAAAGCGCCCCTCCAAAGGCTGGTTGTAGCCAGTGCGCTAGACACATCTCTTCTCCTTTACTGGTTTTCAAGGGAAGTAATTTTGAAATAACCGATATCCCTCTGTTCTCGGTCCTGCCTCCCTAGGTTCTCTTCTCCCTATAAAGCCAACCTCTTCTGCTGCACATCGGAATGTTTGTTTTTGAGGTGTTGCCTGATTCTAGGACCGCAAATAAAATCCAGTTAAGATCTTGAAATTCAGTTTGTTGTAATTTAGTTTCTTGTCAAACTCGGTGCAGTGGAACTTTTAGAAACTGAGGCATCAGTCCCTTCAGCTTGTCACTTCTGTTCTGTGAGGCTTCTTTACATTTCCTTTCATCAATTAAACCTGAAAGAATATCGTTCTCTTTTCTCCCTGCTCCTCCAACCCTTATTCTCATTTAATAACCTTTTACCTTAAAAATCCCTTTCCCCTTGTTCCTGACGGTAGATCCGATAGGATGTAAAATAAAAGACTGCGCACGTTCAGCTTCCTGCAGATCCATTTCAAAGCACAGTCGTGAGAGTAGTGCATGTCTTGGGTTTGATTAAGAGACACTAAACTGGAATGACAAAGATTGAAAGAGATACAGAAAGACTCCTCTTGTTAAAGTAAATTAATTAGTTGGGTTTATACGAGAAGACAGAAGGGGAGAAGCCAGGCTGTGTCCCAGATTAATAATTCCCCTGGGAGAAGCCAGATTGAATTGAGTGCAGATGACGAGAAGGGAGGGGTCACCGAGTGACGTGGAGAGACAAGCAGCCTGGACCTGCCTCACGTTGCACCCTGGTACCCCTCCAGACACAGGCGCACGTCCTCATTCGGACAGGAAAATGATGTCATCTTTCTTTCTGACTCACCGTGCAGACCACATGAATCCCCCGCAGCGTGAGGGCCAGCAGGAGGCTGCTTCGGGGCCGGCGGGCCTGAGAATAAATGATAACCCAGCAGTTAGGGCGGCAGCCTCGCTACATGCAAGATGCATTAAAGCAATTAGCTGGAAGAGGAGAGAGAGCACGGTTTCCAGCCCCTAAGAAGGCCCGGGCCATGCCTGGAGCAGGCTGAGGAACTCTTCAGCCCAGGTCGGAAAGAGCCACTTAGCAAACTGGAAGCCCTTAGGGCTCACGTCCTCCCCACCCCCACTTGTCTGACACCAGTGCTGTCTAAGGGGATTTTAGGATGCCTGGAGCCAAGAGTTCAAGATTACTCTTTGTAAATCAGTGTATTAGAACCAGCTTCATCATTGGTGACTCCAAACTATGGTTTGCAAACTGGTGTCCTAGTTAAATCTGATCCGTGGATGTTTTCTTCTTGGCCCACCACTTGCTTTGGACCAATATTTTTTAAAAATCAACATTTCACATCATGAATTTCTAGATGGTCTTGAATATCTGCTCTAAAATCTGGCCTAAGGATTTAGGGAATCGTTAGCCTAGGCATACAGAGTACTGGGGTGGGGGGGTGTAGGCGTCCCTGGATGCTGCATGCTGGAGGTGAGGATAGCTTTCCTCTTCAAGGTAAGGAGCCCTCTAGGCTACCACCATCCCCAGCAATTCCTGTTACTTATCATCTTCTGGCTTCATTCATTTACTTGACTTATTTATGTCCACCTGGCCCCTGAGCAGCGTTTGAGTCTGTGACCTCCATTTAAATGACTTTTGAATTAGTTTCAACCAGAAATACCTGATGGAATTCCAGAGCATGCCAAGCACGTTTTGCACACGAACATTCCCTGGTTCCTCCTTCCGAAAGCTTTGCCTATAGCCTTGCACAGGGACCTGCTGTAAATGCAGCCACAATGTTTCATGGGGCCTCGATGTCTACAGGTCCAGAACTGTGACTCCGGAATACACACACTTGGCTATTTAAACTGGGTCAGGGGCGGGGGTGGCTGTGAAGCCATCTTGAAACAAAGGGATTCTGAGAGGACTCTAAATTCAGCAGATCCGAGCAGTGTTGATGCCCACCAGAATAAGAACAGCCAAGAATGTCACAAGCTAAATAAAATGCCAGCCAAATGCAGCCCTGGAGCCAGAAACAGCCTGGCAGACTTTGTGACACCAGCTTCCCAGTGCGGTGGGAGGTGAGAAATAGCCTCTCAGGAGGCCTTGCTGGGCCCGATGTCCTGACTCCTCAAACAGGCGCTAGACAGACCCTTCCCCGGGCTCCTCCTTGCAACTCACAAAGTGTGCTTCCTGCTTTCTTGTTCTCGTTCAGATGAGCTTCTGATTGGAAATATCTTTTAAAGACAAAAGCGAGAGCTCCGATGACTGAAGGAAACCAAGGCACGCAGCCTTTCGGAAGTGCTGTCCTCCTCTGCACCTCCTCCAAGCCCGCAGATGCTTTTCTCGCCTCTTGCCTTCCACTTCTCTTCCCCAGTCTTTAGCTCAACGGGGAGCGAAGTGCTAAGTGGCCGCTGCCGCCCTCCTCCTGGCAGTGCCACGCACTGGGCACATCTAAAAGTGTCTCCCGGCCTCCCCCACACCCGCCACACCAGGCTGCCAGTGAAGGGCAGAGCCTATGTCAGGAAGATGCCTGGGAAGCCTGTGTGACTGCTGTGCCCCCAAAGAGACCAGAGCAGACTGCCATAAGAAGTACCTGCTACAGGGTCAAGAAATGAATAATTCAAACTTGCCTCCCATGCTGAATTAACCTGGACTTATTTCATGCTTCCCACCCCCATCACACAGACTGGTGCTTCTCTCTGGGCTGGAGTTGGCTGGAGTTGGCTGGAATCATTCAAGTGTACATTTTAATCCCTTCTGGAAACTTCTTCTGCTCTATTTGAATCACAGAGTATGAGAGTGATTGGCTAAGTATGTCCTTGCTGCCTCATGGGAAGGGGTGTCATGAGGAACCCTACAATGCTGGTTATCAGGGACACCAGATATACCTGCAAAAATGACCACCCACTGTCCTTCCGTTCATGTGACAGCCAGAGAGCAAAGCAATGTAAGATTTAGGAAATGTCCCTGTTTATATTTTTACCAATGCTAACTTTTCTTAGAGTCTTTTTATCTGGCTTCCTCATTCATATCACAAACAGCAATGAACATCTCCTCCGCCCCACTGAGAAAATAGAAATCCTCTTTTCGGAGCAGTGCCTTTTGGAGGCAGCAGAGTAGGCACCCTCCCTGCTTTCCAGTCACTTTACCTCCCCAAGCGTGGCCAGGTCACACCTTTGGCACGAAGCCATATGGAGATCCAGGTCTGGGACATGACAAGCCCTCAGTTTGCACCTGAGATGTGCTTGTGGGACTTCTTTGTGCTGGGCTTGCAAGGATACTGGGAGCCCATGAGAGGACAGGTGTGCAAGACCAATGGAAGGAGGTGTGCACACGCCTGTTCACACGCTGAGGTTTCCGTGGGTGTGCGGTGTGTCTTAAAGGTGATGTGCTGGAAGAAGAGGGTACAAAGGCAAACAGAAATATGGATTTTGCTTTAGGCAGGTTCTTTTTCATCGTAATGGAAAAGCTTGGCACCATGAGAACGCTGCCAGCCCTGAGCAAGAGAACTTCCTGAGGTGATGGAAATGCTCTTGCTCTGTCCTGTCCAACATAACAACCACCGACCCCTGTGCAGCCACTGGACACTTGACTTGTGGCTGCTGTGACTGAGACAGTGCATTTTACATTTTAATTAATTTAAATTTAAATAGCCATATGTGTCTCCTGGACAGGGCCAGTGCAGGACAAGACTGTTCTTACTTTGTATCCCTTTTTACTCTGTGAACTGGCCTTAAGTAGATCTATGCATATATTTCCCTCTAAATACTTTTCAAAAATTCTTTCAGAGTTATCAACCATGAGAAAGGAAGGGGGCAAACCCTGGAAGAAAATTCCTGTAGGTACCTGGAGCACTGCTTTCATACTTTATTCATGTTTTACAGGAACTGTGCAACCCTGCTCCTAGTGGCATTATACCCACTTCTCAGCTGAGTAATCTGAGGGTGACACATTTTGAAAAAGACCTTGAAGTCACTGAGGACCAGCTGGCAGAACTGAATTTTGTGTCTTCCCACGATAAATAAGTGGCCTCATTCCAGGGCTACCCTTATTTCACAGAAAGGGAAAGCGAGTCACTAATGACAGGCGAGGCCCAAAGCTGTGGGTCTCTGGCTATGAGCTTCTTTCAGGGTACACGGAAAAGGATCCAGTGGAAGAGCATCTGGTCAACCTCTGCTTCTCTGTTGACAGTGTGACAGGCAGGTCTGAAATAATTATTTCAAGGTATCTCTGATTGCTTCTGAGGGATGTCTGAAACCTATAAGGAGAAGAAGGTTCATATTAGGCAAAACACTAACAACAAAACGATGCCTAGGGAAAAGAATCTGGAGGAACTTCCAAGGTGAAAAATCTTCTGATTGGGAAACTCACCCTTCATCCCGAGAAACACCTGATGTCTAGGCACTAAGAAAACACAGAGTTACTAAGATCCAGGTGAATCCAGCACCCCTTTTGATGTCCTAACCGGGAGGCTGACCCGGAGACATTGCTTCTCTTTGGGTAGCCACTCACCCAGAGAAGTTTCCTAGGAGGTGATGCTGACTGTAATTAGAGCCTGCTCTTGGAGAGGAAGACTCCTCTCAAATCGCAGTTCTGCAGATGCAGCTGGTGGGCTGCCGGCCTTCTCTCCAGAGAGAGTCTCAGCTGCTCCTGTCGGCTGGAATCATCACTCGGTTTAGTTTCCCAGAGTGGGAGCGGCAGGATGGAGGTGGGGAGGATGGTATCCAGACAACCCGCAGTGGGCAATGACCCTCGGGCAGGTGGCTTTTCACAGCGTGAGTCTGCCCCTGCCCGGACATCAGACTTTGGTAACACCCTGTCCTGCCTAGCTGTTTGCTTTGCTACACCAATGGGCCCTGAGGTAACAAGTTCAATTCCCAGTTCTGTCAAACCTGCATTTTCTTCCCTGACCTACTTTTCTCACTCTGCAGTGCTGGAACAATGCCCCACTCTGTTCCCTGTTTAGACTCATCTTTTGCCTGCGCTGGTGCAGCCACCCAGGCTTTTGCCAGGTTTTCTGCCTTGAATCCCTGACAAGTGTTGATGGAAAAAGAAAAAGAAAAAAAGAGAAAATGAAAAGAAAAAAAAAGCCCTCACCATAAAATACAGTCCAGCTCTCCTGCAGATGCGCACATTCTGGAGGGAGTCAAAGCTCATCCATCAGCAAAGGAAAGAAATCAAAGCCCTGTGCTTCTCCGTGGAGCACCTCTGGCCTCTCCCACCCAGCTTGTGCCCTCCCTCCAGCTCTCCAGGCCCAGAGAGCAGCGGCAGAGGCAGTGTCCTGCAGCATCGAAGAAGCTGCCGGTGCCACTTTGCCAGGGTCCCACGAGGCACCCGAGGAAGCCCCTGTGGTGAGCTGTCCCTGACAGAGGCAGGGCCAGGCCTGCACCAAAGCTCCAGTGAGCTGAGCTACCCAAGGGCCTGGCCCCACCCAAACTCTCATCATGAGAATGCGGTAAGCAATAAGCCAGTCTGCTGGCACCCATAAAGATCCTTTGTGATCTGCAAAACAAAGACAAGTCTATGAGTAAATGCAGGCTAATGTGATGTGAGGAAAGGCACAGGATACACAGGAAGAAGGAAACAGAAGCCAGCTTTTATTGACTGGTTGTTGCAAGCCACAGTGGCTCCGTGTGCTTTACATGTACCAAATGCCTGCTTCTCCTTAGGCCCAAGGAGGCAGGTTCTGCTACTGCCTGCACTGTACAGACACTGAAATACAGGGCCGTGGGTGGCTAGCAGTGGGTCAGACTGGGATCTGTCTGCACCAAGTTCTCTGGTACAACTTGGACTTGATACCTCCCCAGTTTGGCCTGTACCATCATCATCCACCCCACTCTCCACCACTCTCTCCTGCTCATCTTGGATGCTAAGAGCAACTTGGTGGACCAGATCCTCCATAGCACACCAGCAGTCCCCTGCCAAAGCCACCCTGGCTCCCTGAACCAGAAATAACTGGCTCCTTTGGACCACTTTTCCCACATCAGCTGCTCCCTGAGATTCCCCTACATGAGAACATGGGTAAACATTTCTCCAACAACCCCTCCTGGATGGCCACCTGTCCTGGGCACAGTGAGGGCCTCCCAGAGCTCACATCCTTCTCATCCCTCTAGCCCGGGGTGTACGTATCATGTTCTGTTTGGAAAGCTGTAGGAGGGAATCTGCTCAGGCATTGCAGGGCACGATTTTCTTCTCAAAGTGAAGCGGGGAGCTCCACAAGGAACATGGCTTGGCAGCATACACTTTCCTGTTTGTCCTGCTCTATGTGAGGACACAGGATTGAGAGCAGTGGTATCTACTACAAATCCAAGACGGAACTCACCTCTGACATACTGAAGATAAAAATGTGACTAGAAAAGTCCTGGGAACTTGACCTCATTGAGCTGCTGCCCCAACCCTGGGACTGCTGACTTCAGATTTTAACAAAGTCATCTATTGTGAATGAGAATTTTCCTTTGTTACTTGCAGCCCAAAGCACCTAGCTACAAGAGTTCCCTAAAAGCAGCCCGCTGGAGAGGCTGCCGAATGACTTCTTCCTGTCAGTGCTGGTCACTGCCATCCTCACCCTGACTCACTTGATTTGCTCATCGCCTGTTCCTCTCCTCAGGATGTCATGGGAAAGGACCTAGGACACTGACTCACCACCTGATCTTTCACTCTGCTTTTGGCTAGAAAACCCCTCCCAGACTTCTCATGGATGGTTTCTCCTCTCTACTGGACTCAGTTGCCATCTGATCAGAGAGAACTTCCCTGACCACCCAGCCTTGAGCCACCCTGGAGCTCTCTGTCCTACGCACTATTTATCTACTTCACAGAAATTATTACCCCGTATAAATATCTTAACTGTTTGCTTAAAGTTTCTCCATGCTCAATCTTTTGTCTTACCAGGAAAACTGTTTATCTCATAGCACATGTCAAGGCATTGTTGGGTGTCAGAATGTGGATGAAAAGTGTCCCCGGAGAGCACATGTATTAAGAGGTGTGGCTGGGAGGGTGATTAGATCATGACTAATCCATTGCCTGTGCTGTCAGGAAAGGAGCCTCCTGGAGGAAGTGGTCACTGGGGGGCAGTCCTTCAAAGCGCCTGCTATCTCTTCCCTGCTCCATGCTTCCCAGAGGCCGTAAGTGAGCAGCTCTCCTCCTACATCCCTTTCTGTAATAATGTCTCTGCCTCCGAGTCAGCTGACCATTGACTGGTACCTCCACAATGGTGAGCCAAATAAACCTTTTCTCTTTTAAACAGTGTATTGCAGGTAAATCTGCCCAATAAAGGGGTGTCGAAGGCACTTGCAGTGTTTGTTTAGGCATTCCAGTGGGTCGTCTTCTTCCTGCTCCTCCAGCCCTTCCCTTCCTTCCTCTTCTTTTCCTCCCTCCTGTCTTCTTTCTACTCCTTCTTCTACTTCCTCTTCCTTCAGATATTGGCTGATATCTTTTATGCCTCCACTGAGCTATTTTCTAAAAAGAAGACTATCTGCTACTTCCTGCACCTCCCTGAAGAGACTACTGCTACCTTCTTACCTCCCTAGAGATTCTTACCCACTACTTGCTGCTACTATAATTCTCTGGTCTTCCTGTTATTTAGTTTTTGGCTTTGGCTTTTAATAAATTATTACATATCCTTGCACTAATTGTTTTTTTTTCTCCTTATAAAATGACTGGTTTAGATCTGTAATTTACAATTAAAATTGCTAAGTCAGAGACTTTTTAAAGACTGAAGCCTGGAGCTCAACCTATTCCTATGAAATCCTCAGAATATATACATCCCTGACAACCGTGATAGTACTATTAAAAAAATCCCAATAACTGCCCATCCCTCTAAAAAAAATATGGATCAGGTCTACCTATAATTCTCTCTCTAGTCTGCTCTATAATTCACAAGTAGACAACACAAATGGTAGTTACAGAGACTAGGAGAAAAGGGCCGTTAAAAAAAACCCTCTGTTGGGGGCTGGGGATTTAGCTCAGCGGCATAAGCACCTGCCTTGCAAGCAGGCGGTCGTGAGTTCGATCCTTGGTACCGATAAAAATGAAAAAGACCAAAAAAAAAAAAAAAAAAAAAAACCCCTCTGTTGTAAAGCCATGAATGAAATAAAGAGACTGCGCATGAGACCTAACTCACACGATTACCGTGGGTCAGCCATCAATATGTAGATAGAAAGAAAATAATTGGCATAAGCTCCTTGAAATTTCTGCCTATAGCCTCCCCAAGGGGGCCTTGGGGAGATTCAGATAGCATTTGAACAGCCAAGGTTCAGTAATGAGAACTGACATTCTAGTGTGTAGTACAAAAGACGCTTCTCTCCTGGAACCATGAAAAGTACTTTAATCAGCCAAAAAGTTGCTACTATGAAAAAGGGAAGAAAGGAATAAAAGGATCTCCTTGTTTATTGTTTCCCCACGTTGCTAGGCCTGGCTCCTACCAAATGCGCGAGCGCTCTGGCCTCCCCTCTTTCTACCTCCGAAGTGCACAATTGTGAAGCCAGAAACCCAGCTGATTCACAGGAAGCGAGCTGAGGGGTCCCTGGGCTTCCAGTAGCTCAGGCACGCAATTCTCACTCTGCTCCCTCCTTCCTGCAGCCTCTCAGTGAGTCCAGAAAGTGGGAAATCCACAGAGACGGCGAATTGTCTCCGGCTCCTCCCTGACCGGCCACCTCCCAGGGGGCTTGTGGAATATTTATAAGTTGTAAGCTCAAAACAACCATCAGAAGAAAGATAAAAGGTTAAAACCCCAAGCGAGACACCCAGAGTGAACAGCCCGTGGGCCTGGAGAGGTAAGCTGAGAAAACACTCAGAACCCTTTAGCAGAAGCAAAGGATAAAATAAAGCATGTTTTATGCCCAAGGCAGAAAATTAAAAATTAAGTAGGTTCAATTCTGAGAGGTATATCGTGGGGTGAGGTCCGCCCCAGCCCTCTCGGCTTGCTGTGTTTGCTGTTGTCCCTTTGTTTCTAACTGAAACAAATGCCCTGTTACTAATAACTGAGGCCATCCATAGACAATATTTCTAAGGCAGGAATCATAGAAAGTCTTACCGAAGCTTCCAGTCCCGGGGACTTGGAGTAAATATGCAGATCCCTTTTTAAAAAGGGCCAAACACACCCTTTAACACATTCTCAAATTCTAAAAGCTGGGATGTGACCAAAGGCGTGTGCCTTCCCGAGGACATCCACATTAACTTTCGATCCACGGAGGTTGTGAAGGTCTGGCTCTCTCGCTCTGTGTCAGGGGAGCTCTGAACTCCATTCCAGCTCCAGCAGGCCTGAAAGAAATGGCAGAGAAATGCTGTGACTGCACTGTGAACCACCTTCTCCCTTTGCTCGACCCCTTCTTTTCCTTCCTTCCTTCTTTCTTTCCATGCTGGGGATCAAATCTAGGACCTCACGCATGCGAGCTTTACCACCGAAACACACCCCTAACCCCTAATGTTTTTACTCCTTCAACAACCTGCAAACACTGCTCAGTAAAATTACTGCATTAAAACATGGACGCAAGTGAGTTGAAATGGGCTGAAGAGGTCTTGAAATGCCACTTCCCAGGCACTACAGGAATCTGCTCCACCGTGCACAGAGAACTGTTCCCACAGTCGAAGTTTTCACAGGAGTTAGGACGAGGCAATGCCACTGGTGACACCAAGTAACCAAGGAATTCTGCAAGGTGACAAAGGAGAGGCTAGGAAGGGAGAACAAGCTTGTTTGGTAAAACAAGAGAAAGGCTTGTTTGGTAAAAGTAGAATGCGACGGTCCACTACATAAAGACCATCCAGTGCTACCCCAGGGCTATGCTGAAT